CAACCTAAATGATTCCATGATTCTATGAAAATATTAAACAATTGGAAAAAAGAGCATTTTTTTTTTCCCCATCGTCTTGTCTCTTGCATGACTTCAGTCTTGTACTTGACATTAAAGTAGTTCCATTATACACACCTAAGCATACATAATATCTATTTACAGCTAGAATCTCACCCTTCTTTATAAAGAAAACCCTTGCTTTTGTGAGTTTAGGTCAGAATCTTGATCTCTTCTGACTTTCACAGCCATGTCACAACGTCCTGTATTCAAACTTCTTCTGTAACCAAATGCAGCCAGAACATTCTATATTATGAATATGAGAGAAAAGGTGGCTTGTGTTAAAAGAGAAAACAAGAAAAATCATTAAAATTGTTTCTATACGGTAAACAAGTTTCTTTTTCTTTTATTTGACAAATCACTGTATCAGAAATTCTCACAAATGTAGGTCTAGAGTACAGTTCTCAAATATGTCATCTGCCGCTAAAAACTTGATTAATAGACTCCCCATTTATTCAATTACTGCATCAATAGTATGGCATTTTTAGAAGTTAATCTTTTTTATCCATGAGTAATTATTGTTTAATCCATATCTTGTAATATTCCTAATGGTCAGTTTCATTAATTTAATAAAAAAGGGCTAAATATCTCTTTTCTAAATACTATCTAGTTGGTATCACAGCTTAGTTCCAAACATGTGGTTGACCAGGATTTTGAACAGTCTCATGGATGACTTACTTATATATGCAGGGTAAACAAGATCAGTTTGAATATGTGGGTTATTTTGAATTTTTCAATGCTTTTATCATGTTTGCATAAAATTTGATACAGTGGCAGCCTCAGTTGCCCAGGGAAAGAAAAGGAAAACAAAGTCAGAGCATTCACTGGACACTAGCTCAGTAAACAGAAGGTTTTATCCCCAACTCTGTGACCGAACTGCTGTGTGCCCTTGGGCATGGCACTCTACTCCTTTTTTCCTGTGTTGCTCCTCTTCCTTTTTCTTTTGTCTGTTTGGACTGGAGCTTCTCCTGGGTGGGTACTGGACGTGCTAATTAGGGTAGCTAGCCAAATGGGGTCCTGATCTCTGTTGTGGCCTCTAGGTGTTGCTATAATACAAATAATTAATCAAAAGACATGTTTCATAGTGTCCGTAGAGGGAGTTGCCTGTTTTTGTCAGAGCCAGGCTTAATTTTATCCAATTAAACCTCTCTCTCTCTCTCCCTCCACTCTGCAACATAACTGCAATTTTAGCTTTGTATGTTGGATAAATGAACCTGAATGTGAAAAGTAGAAGCAGGAAAGCTGTAGAAAGAGAATTGACTCACCTCTAGTTGAAGTTGCTCATTTTGGGGTGCCTCGGTGCCAGCCTCCTGTCCAAGGGTGGTCTCTGCTAGAGGAACCCGCTGTTAAATTCCTGACCCAACCCAACCTTCCACTGCCAGAGCCAGTCATCGGGCGTCTCATCCCTTTGCAAGGACTCTGCTGCTGATGTGGTTTAGGAGTATGAGCACATGAGGCACACGTGAGGACACAAGTGCAGGTGATCTAGACCGGGACGCAGATCTCATGCCTAAGGACACAACCTATGGCCCCTGAAGTAATTACAAACTGAGATACTTGTGAGTTTAGTGAGGATAAGCTTCGTCTTGTAGGGTGAAAATTCAGACCCTGGTGTAAGTTGGTCACAAGATCTGCATGTTTTGCCTAACAGGGGACTATTATGCAAAACTCATTGCCGTTATCATTAACGGTTTTAAGATTCACAGTTCAACGTTAAAAATAAGGCATAGAAACAAAACGACAAATAATTGGGAAGAGTTTGAGCAACGTTTTCTTTTGGAGCTGCTGATCCCGCAGCCTGCCTCAGCCCATCATTGGATGTAACCTCCAGCCGAGCAGCTCCTGCAGAAAGAACAGCTCTCGCGGAGGTGTGCCGGAGCGATCGGTACTTAGGGCCCGAAGAGTGGCAGATGCCTCTCAAAACTACATTTGTTGAAAGCGCATTTGTAGCCAAACAGTTTTGTCTGGCAGGGGATAAGCGATCCCTCCTGCAAAGCAAAGGCACAGCAGGGAAAAGGGATTGGATGCACATTTAAAGAAAACACTGCAGGTGCCTGCTGGAGCGATGTCTTACTGGGATTTACTGGCACAAAGAGGCAGAAGATGGGATCGGAGCTCTGTCCCCTTTCTAGCCACACCTAGGTGCTATGGGACCACGAGCCCTACAGCCATCCCTTCCCTCCCTTGTGGCCTTCATCATCTGTGAGTTAATTACAACCCCTTCCTGGCACGGAGGAGAAGCACAGTGAGGGGCAGGTGGTCTCTGCTCCGGTCCGTAAGTGGTTCAGGCTCTGGGACAACCATGGCCCAGCTCTCAGTATCTAATTGAGATTGTGTAAGCAGATGCTGCAGGTCTTACTGTATTTCTATAAAGCTCTTTTCATCAAAAGACTAGCCATTAAATTGCCAGTGTTCTTAAGCATGCTTCACCAGTTTTTCCACTTTTGAGACTCGAGTAGACAATTTTTTTAATGTTTTATAAATGATAAAAAATTCACAGAATTTTAACAGAATTAAGCATACTTATTCAACACACATGGGGCCTCTGAAAAAAATGTTATTCAATTTAATAATTTTAATTTACATTGTATATGTACAAGAGCATTTCTTTCAACCCACAGGTTAAACCCACAAAAAAAAAAAAAAAAAAAAGAAAAAGAAAAAAGAAAAAAAGTACTGCGGTTAGCGGAGTGAAGAAACTCTTGAAACACTGTTGTCTGAAATAAAAGCAAGGCACTCTCCCTTAACACCTGATATATTCCTGAATTCTGCCTAGACAAAGGCATGTTCACACTGAGAGAGCTGTAAGAAAAGTAGAAGACTTATTCTGCGTTAACTCTTTCTTTTACTACTGTGACCTGTCACTGGTTGGACTCTAGGATGAGTCTGTGTACTGAGGTTGACACGAAGGACAATTCCATGGATGACGGGATTTGGGAGAGCATCACAGTTAAGACTATCTATGGAAGACTGGAGGACACCGGCTACGTGAAATCTCACACGGGGCTCTGGACCTGCTACCTCCCACTCACATTCCACTTAATAAATAAACCTTGCTCAACAAAAAAGCAGTTTTACTGTACTATGCTGATTCGCCTGAAAATTCTCTGTAGGGGCTCACTGGCGAGAAGCGCCTGCAAGCCCTCATCTGGCTGGTGCTCAGCACCTGGCAGGACTTGTCCCTAGATCAAAGTCATTTCTCAAGGGACCTTGTGTCTTACACAAGGAGACAAAAGTGAACATACTTTTGGATTTTTTCTGTCTGTATGTTTTTGTATGCGCACATGTGTGAGTGTATATATATATACGTATATATATATATATTTAGTATATACAAAAGCAAATTCAGTCAAAATATATTTGTCTTGCTGGTCAGGCTCGTTACAGCAACCTACAAGAAACATTAGCTTCTCTGATATTTAATTATGCTATTATGTTTGCACATAAGCTTAAAAGTCAATACAAAAAGCAATACTTTTCCAAATATTATCTGCAGGTAAACCGGAAATATTAACTATAGTGATTAGAAGTCTGTTTCCCTATTGACACTACTATAAATCTTGATATAAGAATAATTTTTTCATAAAAGCACATCCAAACATAGTAAGTGATAAAATACCAGATTACTATTTGAAAACCATACAGTGACTCGATATCTGGGTTATCCTTTGCAGCAATTAGGCAATTCATTTGGCATCTGTTTGATTGTATAATTTAATTTCCATATAAACAGCATAGTTTAAAAAAAGACAAAAGCTAGAATGTTTAAAGCTAACAAAAGATACAGTGACATCAGGTTGACATTCAAAAATTTCCTTAGCAAAATGACCAACAAAATTTTGACTTAATACAGTGCATATAAAGTTTTTTAGAACTAAACTTTTTAAATATTATTTGAATTTAGCAAAACATGAGCAAGATTTTAATATCAAAGTGCTAAACAGTACTGCCTTAGAAGTCACTGCAAATAAACTGTAAAATAACTCTGCTTGTGATTTGACAGATATTTTATATACAAATGGTTAATAAAAAGACACGCGCACACGCACACACGCACACAAATATAGGTATATACATATATATATATACACATTATATATATGTATATAGTTTTCCAACTGGTGTATCTGAGTCAGTGTGAACACCCCATTTAGTTATCATGTGTAACAGGGCTCCCATGAGCTGGCAGTCATTGCAATAAATACAGGCAAAGCCATTACAATATACCATGCATACAAACATTTATACAAATAAAGACACTATGCAACAAATTATTTCATATTAATATGGCATCAACAGTATAAACATACAAAAAGGAGTACGAACACGGAATGTTTAAACGCAGCCCACTATCTCCTTCCTAGCACTTACATTCATACTATTTTACAAGACTTGCTTGCTCTTGAAAAAAAAACCACCTTCTGTCCGTTTCCTAACTCGCCGCTGACGTTAGAAGTCTAAACCCGAACTATCCCTGATGCTGACCCTGTGTGCTCCAACCACTACCTACTCGGATTTCCTTAGCTGAGGAACAACTGAGCCACAATTGCTCCCGTGTCTTCCACATGCGTTTGTCAGTAAGTCGCGCTACATGGAATCAAGTTGGGAAAACTCTGTCAGGTAAGTTAGTGCATGTAATTTTCTCACTTGATTTCTTCCGTTTGTTTTCATAGTAAAATAAATTAGTTAATAAACAAGACTTAGTAAGACAGCACTTTAAAAAATTGCACTTGAACATGGGAGCTAACAGCCATTGTCATTTTGCTATATTCGATTTGTATGAAATGTTCAATTGAATGTACTTTGCTAAAAAAGTGAACTTTTTTGTTTAGATTGTGCTGATGTATGTGCCCTTGATGCAGGAAGTATGCTAAAGGTATCCTCACAAAACACATACTACCCTGGCAAACAACTATTTGCTGTTCTTGTTTTCAAACACAGCTTCTACAATTGTATTCCTCATATACCATGAGGTGTTAAACAAGAGATTTAAAACAGTCATGTTAACCTTTTACTGCTGCTGGGATAGCGTTGTCCAAAAGTGCCATATTAGCCATTTAAAAAACCCAAATCACACAAAAGAAAACAAAGAACACAACCCCAAACCAGTAAGCCAGTAAGTTTCAGGCCGCAGGTTGTAAGGACAAAGCGCCAGAAAAGACCTCATTTTAGACTCGGAGCTGCTTTTCTGTTAAGTGAGGGCAGAAATGTTAGCTGTAAGTCACGATCCGTTTGCCTGCTCTGGTGGGCGTTTGCCTTTCAGGAGGGTGGTTTGACTCAGAAGGGTAAGGTGTCCAGAAACAGCCTGTCGATGATGGAAGGGGCTGGCACCAAATCTTCCAGTTTCAGGTAAAAGATGCGCTGCAGTCCCAGTGTGCAGAGAGAACGCAAGTCAGCCAGAACACCCAGTACCTTCGGCTCTGCAGACTCGAGTGGTTGTCCTTTGTTTTGGCAACTGAAAGTTAAGTGATCTTTCAAACTGCTTGTGATCTTGTTGCATAGCTCTTCCACTTTCTTTGGTTCTTTTAATCCATGTCGTTCTGCAAAGCGAGAGGAGGAAAAAAAAAAAGACCCACATCAGCGTCGCTACCGCAAATTGAGAGAACTCGTTTTCTTCCACGTGACCCAAATCCATGCTCTGGTACTCACAGCAAAAAACGCTTTGAAAGTGTAAGATTTCTCAGAGCAGCTGGGGTTATACGCTGTCAGTTAACCTTTCTGCCACACCAAATAAAGAGACGGCAAGTGCCCTTTTCTCTTTAGCTGCGAAAACAGGCGGCAGAGGTGCTCGATTACGATTGAAATTCTAGCGCGAGGAGTTCAAGCACCCTGCGTATCTCGCATAATTTTCATGACAGAATTAATTGGGTGATTTTCCAGCAAAACTATCACAGGAGGTGTTTTGGAGATTTCCGTGCTTCCCCACCAGTTGTGAATGCTCAATAACTATGGCAACCATTATTTATTCAGTGAATTCAAGTGGCGATCGATATCCCTAGCCAGCTCCATCAGCGCCCAGCCTAGAATTCCACCAGGAATTTGCAGACACTGTTATAAGAAACTAAAGGCACCTTACCACCCTTTGTTATTTTGATCAGCTGCTGCTTTTTAGTTTATTCATCTTTAAAAGGTCTAAGATAAAAGGAGCCTGGAAGTTAACTGTTTCGCTTTGGGTGAGCAGTGCCTAAAGTGAAAAGGCTGCTGTGTTAGCCATCACAAAAACCTCAGCATTCCGAAAAGGAAGGGGAGCTGGGACTTGTGCCCCTTCAAAGGGCCTTTTGAGATACTACAGCAATGTCAAACGCATCCACGGTTCTTTAAGTGTAAGTAGAATGAATCAGGTTTGTGATTCATCAAAAGCAGGCTCTCTACTGGTACACGGGGAAAGAATTTTGCGTGGTTTGCTATCAAGACCTAGTGGATAAATTAATATAATATTTCAGAACAATAATCTCAAATCATTTTGCGATGTCTCGCTTTGCCTTTGCCTTTGAAATTCACAGGTAAGTAAGAACCGACTTCGTAGCAAAGTCGTAAAGATTTACACACGAAGTAGAATTACACCAGATCGGGCAGTCCAAGAAAACACAGGTTAAATTCATTTTAATCAACTAGACGTAGAAAAACAGCGACAGCAGCGGACGAGGAGTAACTGTGGCAGTTCTCGTGCTTGATGCATCTGACGCCGTCTGCCTTCCCTGGCCCTCTCCCCCATCCCTGGCAGCCACGGGCCACATCATGCCCACTGCCCCCAAGTCTTGTTCCTCTGCTCCAGGAGCAGTGAGCAATAGATACTTTCTCTGCCTGTCCCCCCATGAAGAGTGGAAAGAGCACAGTTTTCTTTACTGGAGGTAAAGGTGCCTTGCCCAGGCATGTGTGTAGGAACTCCTCGCTCCTTCCCCTTACCACCTGCTTTGGCTGGATGTTCTTGACAAACCAGTAAAGCAGATGGGCATTCGGTGAAGGCAGTCAGAATTGTAAAGGGCTGGTTTTCCACTGATGTTCAACCATTTCACACTTTTTTCAACTTTATTTACTTGGGCAGAGCTAGCTCCTGAAGAATACTGGTTTGGGATCAGAACGGGCAGACGCGTACATCTCTGGCCAGAAGCTACTGTGCTCGGTCATTTAAGTACCATCAGCCTGCCCTGTTGCTTCAGAGCAACACTCATCCAAGAAGTAGCATCTGCTTCAGACATCTTTTTCACCTTGCAGGAATTAAAAACCTGAGGTATTCTAAGTGCCTTGTTTACATTAAAACACGAGGAGTCAATGAATATTTAAAGCCTTTCCAGTAAATGGTGTATAGTGTAATTATGTAAGGCTTAACTATACAGGTCACTGAGAATAAATACTTAGGCAGATTCTGCCATTAAAAATCTCGGCAGATAAATATTTTATACAGGTTTGAAAAGCTGTAGGGCTTTTTTTTTTTTTTTTTTTAATGCTAGCCTACTGAGAGAATCTGCAGGACATTAAATTAATCTTGCAGTCTTTGAAGAGTTCCCATCTTTTAATCTGTGTTGAGGTCGTTTCCTGGCTGCGTAAGTGAAGATATCTTTATAGATCTAGCGAGCTGAAATACTAGAATGGACCCAAAACCTGACTCAAATCAGCAGAGCACATTTTTAAACCAATGCCTCGGTAGGTGTGAACCTTGCTGCAGAGTATGGACAATTATCTCTGGCTCTGGAGCACACAGCAACGTTGCTAACATTTCCAGCCAGAACGAAACAGCCTTTGTCTCACACTGACAAGTTCAGAAGGTTTCGTGAACAAATGGTGTCTTTGGTGACTACCCATGAAACATACCGATGCAAAACACAGTAAGTGCAAAGATTATAATATTAATAGCCTTACTTTACGTAACAAAATCATGGAAATTCAGAATTAAGAGATACTCTGTCCTTAAGCCGCTCTCTGGTGCTACAATATTAAAGCAGTCTCCGATAAACCAAACTGCTGCATGAATTGCCACGCAATGGCCTTTGCTACTTGCAAATCTCTACAAAGGTAATTCCTCATGACTGGAACTGCCTCAAGGGGTTTCCAGTTTCCAATCCCTAAGGAATCCCTTGCGGACCCACAGAAAGTCAAAGCCATCTACGCGGAAGCCCGTCCGCGAGTCAAGGGCACCGCCACCACCACCGCCGTCGCCGGTGTTAGCATCCAGCTGCTTTGTGGGGAACGCACTCGTGTAAGAATCGGCTCCTCACTTGGGTAGACTCGAGGTGTACTCAAAGGTCTAAATTTAATAGGGTTCAAATAGCAGGAGGCGCATTTGCTTGTCTTTTCCTCATGGCCAGTCCCATGTGCACGAAGACAGACCCACAGTCTTTCTTACTCCGCCTCAACAGCACGAGGCAGCTGTGGTAAGTGTGTGCTCCAGCGCTGGAGCCGATGGCCTCTCATCATTCGCCGTCTGCCATGGGATGTTCATCTCCACACGGCCAAGATTTATCCCAAGAAAGACAGCTACTCAAAAGGGACAGATTTTCTCTAACTGATCGAGGAGGTGTGTAAATGTTACCGTACTCAGACTTTCTTGTAATGACAATGAAAAAGGCACAGGTAAAGCGAATATAGGATTTCGCAGCCCTGCGTTTTAGGATACCATTGATTTTTGCAAGAAAAATGGTGATTCATGGCGAAGATGCTCTCCATAAGCCTGTCAAAACGGTTCGTCAGAAGTCTTGCCTCTAAAGCTCTGCAAACTTAGCAGCTCATCCTGGCAAACGGAACACAGCGAGTATTTTACACCTTTCTCCTTTCCCCAGGAATCTCAAGGCGGTTCTGTGCTATAATTACGCTGATCAGCAAAAAGCTGACGAGAAGAAAGTGAAAAAAAAAACCGCAGGAAACCCCATCACCAGCTGTGCTAGTCCTTCTGTCCCTAATCTCCACCCTCTCATCCCCAGGGGAGGTTATGCCAGGGCTGGGCAGGCTGAGTGCTACTTTTATGAGAAACACCTCTCAAAGAGCGCAAGTATTTCTGAGCCCTTGAGCATCTCAAAGACCCTTTGGGCTCTACGCTCCGTGTCAGGGTGGGTCAGTTTTAGCCTTAATTCATTCTCAGGTGTCAGTCAAATCAGAAATGCAGGAGATTTACGCCGCGGACTTAAAATAGGCCTCTTGATGGTCTCGGTTTCAATATAGTTATCCGATTTTCTCTTCCCCCTTCACAATCCTCTTCCCCTTCCATAACTCAAACACGAGGCTCAGTTGCTGACACCGTTCTGCTTGTCTCGTGCACACTCCGTTACACAGCAAGATTGCAACTCAGCAGATCCCAGTGTCTCCTGTCCTGTTGGAATTCGGCCCATTTTCATCCTGCCTAACCTTCAGGCCCTTCACAAGGGTGCCCAAGCTAAGAGGACAGATTTCTTGAGCTCCTCCTGCTATCAGTGGAAGGATGGGCATTCTTAGAAGATGATTCTGATTTCAGGTGGATGAATCACCTTCTGGAGGTGCCCTGCATTTCTCCATCAGCTGTGCAAGGTACCTAAAGTCAGAGGAGCTGAATGACCACGCAGGACATCACAGTTTGCTCCCTCCTTTAAGAAAACCGCAACGTAGCACAGAAGCCGCTGGTTGCTGTAGGAGGAAAGAGTTCTTGCCTCAGCAAAAGGGTGGGAGGGGAGAAGGAGCAGTGAGTACTTCGATGCTGACAGCATTTCCCTCGGCAAAGTGGCGGGGGGAAGGCAGACAATGCAATCTGGAGGGGAATTTTTTTTTTGTAACTGGCTCTCCTACACTCCTCCAGTCTGCCACCTGCTCCTATGTAGACCCAGCACATGAAGCACCCACTCCGGAGGATCCTGGCAACAGGACGGAAGGGTATCTGCTGCTGCAGTGTAGGTGAGCCTCCCTTCCATAGGGAAGCTGGACAAACTCATGTTCAGAAGGGAACTGCAACAGCCAGACCTTTTTTAGCCAGATCAGACTCCTTACTATTTCTTGGTATGACTGCTGGTGCTAAAAATTGTGTTTGTAAACTGGAACAGAAAGCCCAACAGCAGGAAAACAAACACAAACTCATAATTAATTGAAACCTCACAGTATTCTTCAATGTTCTGGTGCCAGTCTAACAAAGCATTAAGAGTGTGAATAAGCCCAATATATACAGTGGCTCTGGGCTGGTCTGTAACACACTTAAAATAAAACATATGCCGAAAGAGCTCGGCTGGATGAGGGCTAGAATGCTCTGTACTCGGCAGCATCCCACTGAGAGCGTGAAGTGGGCAAAACAATAATACTTTGATGTGGATAGAGAAAGGAAGAGGCAGGGAGGAAGAGAGAATCAGCGCGAGTGAGAGAGAAAACACCAGCAGTTTTAGAGGAGGCAGAAATTTGAGGCTAAATTAGAGTGTGCCCTTGAGATGATCTGCCTTGGAGTCTCTGTTTCTTGACGCTGTTAGAAAAACTGTAAAGCAGAACATTCTAAATGGTCATTTGGGAAGTTAAGGAAGCGTTTTCAAGAACAGGCTGAGCTCAACGGTTGGACTTGATGATCTCAGAGGTCTGTTCCAACCTAATGATT